AACACAAGTAACAACAGCAAAAAACTTGCTCAGTTAACACAAGTAACAACAGCAAAAAACTTGCTCAGTTAACACAAGTAACAACAGCAAAAAACTTGCTCAGTTAACACAAGTAACAACAGTAAAAAAAAGAAAAAAGGTTATATCAAAATATAATAAAGTCTAGAATATTCAATTACTGAAAGCTTAAAAACAAGGATCAGGCATGTTTTAACCCACAAAATTTCAACATATTTCTTAGAATGGAAAGAAAATTAAAACGTCCCTCATAAAAATGGTCATATCAACACACACACACAAAAATCTCATATTTTATGCCTCACAATCTGTGACAGAAGTCTCCAAATCGAAGAAAAAATAAATAAAAAGATACATATTTTCCAAGAATAAACAATACTAATATTTGGTAATAAAGTTTTTACTGCAATTGAAATATAAACTAACCTTCCGGGTAATAATTTCGCAATTTTTGCCCACTGGTTTCCAAATTGTCTGTGTGCACTATATATAATGCTTTCTTCTTCATCGGTCCATTTTGTCTTTTTTATAGATGGGTTTAAGTGATTGTGCCACCTGGAGAGAAAACATTAGATAAACCTTAGGTTATGTATTTATAAGATAAACCAGTTAGGTATTGCAATTGATATAATATCAACTGGACAGCTGAAAAACGTGATAGGTAGAAGCACCTTAAAATTAACTCAAGAAATAAAATATTTATACATCTTTAGCTAAGCAACCAATTAATAAAGTTAACTTTCATCTTATAAAAGTCAGATACCAGTCATTAGATGTTAATTCTCACATTGATGTATTAGGCTTGGTCTTAGGATGGCTTATTACCTAACAGGTTTCCCCATTTTATAGTTTTGGATTTTCCCTTCTGACAAAATTGTTTTACTACTTCTTACTCTATGAATAATTTATTGCAACCTTTGTTTTTATCATCTGTTTCATTAATGACAAAAAAAGATACTTTATCTTACAGTGTTTCAATTTTTATTCTTCAGCACTTCATATTCATTAATCTGAGTACTAACTGCTAATTTATTTTATGTATCACTTGCATTATTAAACACACTATTGGTATTCATGCCCTACATGTCAATGTTATGTGAAACAATATTCTCTTTATGATCAAAACATGCATACACTAATAAACATCTTTGTTAATTACTCCCATGACAGTGAATTGTACAATGACTAAAACAGTGATAAATGATGAAACAGTTACCAAAGTGTTTGATGTCAATATGAATAATTATGATGGACTTTCAGATTATATTTTAATTAATTTCTAATTACACTTTAATCAAAGATGTTGTATACTATGTTACCTTAAGGTAAAAACCAAATATTAAATGTTCAAAAAATATAAAATGTTACAACATAGTTAACCCTTAAAAACGTAATATTCTATGTTAAAAAAAATAAGATGTTACAACACAGTTAACCCTTAAAAACGGAGTATTCTATGTTAAAAAAACATAATAAGATGTTACAACACAGTTAACCCTTAAAAACATAATATTCTATGTTAAAAAAAAGATAATAAGATGTTACAACACAGTTAACCCTTACAAGTTTAATACTGAATAAACTGCATTGTTATGTTCATTCAATTCCAGTTTCAGTCTATTGACCAATATCATAATATATTGTAAATAGGCTATTTGGATTAGAAACTAGTTATGCCATCGAGCATACCCTCAAGTTGAATTGAGAGATGTTTTTTCAAGCCTGTACACAGATTACAGTATATCTTCAAGTATAAGGATCAAATATTTATCTTCAAAACTTTTAATGTGGTATATTAATTTAAATATCCTACATGTTCTTTGGGTTACATTAGATCCACCTCTGGGTGGTTAACATTTTGTATTGAAATTTAAGATCCAAATCATTTTTAAGCATCAAGAAACATGCACTGAATGAATGAAATGAACCTATAGGTACAGGACAATTTAATATACTCGAGTATAATGAACCTATAAGTAGAGGACAATTTAATATACTCGAGTATAGTGAACCTATAAGTAGAGGACAATTTAATATACTCGAGTATAGTGAACCTATAAGTAGAGGACAATTTAATATACCCGAGTATAATGAACCTATAAGTAGAGGACAATTTGATATACTCAAGTATAATGAACCTATAAGTAGAGGACAATTTAATATACTCGAGTATAATGAACCTATAAGTAGAGGACAATTTAATATACTCGAGTATAATGAACCTATAAGTAGAGGACAATTTTAATATACTCAAGTATAATGAACCTATAAGTAGAGGACAATTTTAATATACTCGAGTATAATGAACCTATAAGTAGAGGACAATTTAATATACTCGAGTATAATAAACCTATAAGTAGAGGACAATTTAATATACTCGAGTATAATGAACCTATAAGTAGAGGACAATTTAATATACTCGAGTATAATGAACCTATAAGTAGAGGACAATTTAATATACTCAAGTATAATGAACCTACAAGTAGAGGACAATTTAATATACTCGAGTATAATGAACCTATAAGTAGAGGACAATTTGATATATTCTTAAAGGCAAAAAGGAAACAAGAACTCCAGATAAAGAAAAGTCTATTGAACAATAGACTTCAACTGAGATTGAATAAGTAAAACAGAGCAGTTTGTTTATAATAAGATGCAATTTTCAATAAATTTACAGGTAATTTTGAGCACTTTTAGACCTGTAAGGGGACTTAAAATGCCACCAAATTAGTCTAGATGAATGTGTGTGCTTTATTTAGTTTTACTACTATACCTCTCTCGACACTGTTTTCCTATTCGTCCCCTCAGTTGCTTGGCAATGAGAGTCCATTTTTTAGGTCCATATTTTTTTACCAGCTCAAATACTTTTTCATCTTCCTGAAACCAGTTAAAGTTTATATATAAAAAGTACTTTTAAAAGCTGAACTACAAAACTTCAATCAACATTAAGATTTTTCCTGTTACTTGGCACGAGGAATGAAACTTGAGAAAAAAGATCTGATTAAACTTCTAATAACTCTCAACCTTTAAATATTTCTAATGCCAGTAGAAAGTTTTATCACTAACAGATCTCAAAACATTAATTCAAAATTAACTTTTAAATGTGAATTAAAAAGCATGTACTTATGATTTTTCATATTTAAGATTCTTGCTATTTCTCTATCTTATTTAAACTTTTTTTTTAAGTCTTAGCACATATATAATAATTATTTTGGTGGAATTTCTAAACTTGTTAAAAATATTTTCTTTACACATTACTGCAGATGTAAATAATGTAAAAATTAAGAAAAAAATTAATTATGCCAAAAAATTAAATACATGATACAAAAGAAATTGAAAAGCAGAGGCACAGCATAATAAATATTACAGATAAAGTAAATTAGAATGGTGTTATTTAATTGGTATTTTATTTACAAGACCAAATAACTAAACATTTTAAAAACACTTGAGTCATTTTACAATTTATCAACTTGATTTTCAAAAATATTATGATAAAACCAAAGACAATATGAAACCAACATGTGCAATTCAATACAAAACAAATACTAGCAACATGTCAAAAACAAAATCTGTCAAGTTACAAGATTTTTGAATTTCTTGTCAGTAAAATACAAAACAAAACAGAAAACAATATATAGTTTTCTGGAATGTATATGTTAAACAAATATACAAAATGGTAAGAAGTGGGCACAAATGTACTTCTTTAATAAGCTTTAAAATCAAAGTGAGCTGCTAATCACTTGTCCTTTACATACATGAAATAAATTATCTTTCAATGTGTCAAGACCAAAAATAAAGTCTCAGATATTCTCAGGGTGAAAAAAAAACAAACAAAAAAATATCTGTTTTACTTATTTCTATAATGACAAAATTAAAAAAAAAAGTTTGCTTCCAACATATCAACTGATTCAAAAAGAACAAATTGGTTGATTGACTAGAACAAGACATTGTTAGCAACCATAGACCATGGGTTTCTGCAATGACATTGAGGAAGTTAAATAATCAATCATTGGGAAACAACTTCTATATTATTACAGGATATGTCTGCATGTCACACATGCTGAACACCTGTATGAAAATTTTTACAAAAATTCCTGAACAAACCTTACTAGTTTTTTTTCTTCTAGTTGTGTAAAAATAAAATATAACAATTCTTTAACTGTGATAATAGTAATGATAGTAAAACCTACAGAAACCAGTGAAGCTAAAGATCTTAATAATGCTAATGATAATACTTATAAAACCTGACTAAGGTAAAGAACATGACAATACTGACAGAAATCAGTGTTGCTAAGGTACTGATGAGAATGCCTAAGAAAAATCAACTAGGATCTCAATAGTACTGATGATAAAATCAAAAACCAGTGAATCTACGGTCTAGTAAGTACCAGCAAAACCAGTGAAGGTAAAATCTTGTTAGTAGTTTATGTAAAACTTATTAAAACCATACAAAGCTGAGTAATTAACAATAACAAAAGTAAAACCCTGTGAGACAGGAAACTTCATAGTATTTATGGTGAAGTCTTCATAACATCTAATACAGAGAAACGGTGACTTTAAGAGTACCATTAGTGAAACCTGTGGAATCCAATGACACCAAACCTTGACAGTATTAATGTTAAGACTGATGCATATCAGCAAAGTCAGACTTGTTTTGAATATTTGTGTAAAGCTACACAAGGGCTAACTGCACTAGCCACCCCTAACTTTGAACTGATAGACTAGAGTAACCACCACCAATTCTTGGGCTATTCTAATCAAACAGTAGGATTTCACAATCACTCTTATAAAGCACCCACAACATTAACATCCAGAGTGTAACCCTCTCCCCAGCAATGGGTAGGGGAACCATGGACCCTCAAACTGTCAGTATGGCACACTAACCACTAGGCCACAATAAGCCCTTAAACAGTAATAAAATTCAATACATGCTAAATCTGAGAGCTTCATCATTGAAATATATGTAAAATAACTTATTCAAGATCTTTGAGTTTTTTAGTTTCATAGGAGTTATCATAAAAGTACCATGGATTTATACATAAACATCAATCACATAACAGACCATGGTCCATCACTGAAGATCAATTAGAGCAATCAAAAGATGGTCCCAAAGGAGTGTATTATTTAAAAGTAGTACTTTCTTCATCAGGACCATAGGAGGGTCTTCTGGACATCAAATTAGTCTAGGATAATTGTCTCTTTAGGTTCGTTGTTTGTCTTATTTATTCATTTTTTATACTATAATCCAATGTGGCAAATCATTCAACTATGTGTAAGATGTATACATGCAATATTTCAACAATTCAATGTCAGGAATTTTGAGCAAAAGCATAAATTTTGATAAGAATGATAAGACAGGTATTTTCAAAGGAAAAAAAGAAAAATATTGTAGAAAAATAATATTTACCAAAATATTAAAGTGAAATAGAGCAATCTATTACAAATATGCCTATTGTAAACGTTTACTTCTGTATTCATCATTTTTCTAGACTACTGCTTATAATTATAATTTTGATAGGGCTAATATTTTTTCTATATTGTCCTGGGTTGGCTTAAATTAAAGCCAAGAATTTCATTTGTATATAAGCATGTTCTACAACACCAGTGGTTCCCAACCTATTTATGCTGCCTACCCACAGCCAGAAGCATACCCCTGTCACATTTAATTTATTTAAAAAAGTGAAGAGCAGTTTAGAAAGGTAAATCAAAAGAATGAAATTATGTGAATACAGAATTCTCAAGGAAACTGCCCTCCAATTTTGAGGTGTGGGTTTTATTAGGTCGTTAAGAAATTAATGTCGCGTTTTGGAACACTTTCATTAACCACCTCCCAAAAAACGTACATCACGTATAATAGTTAAACGAACCGGCTAAGTATCACGTTAGTATAGCCTGTATAATATGTAAAGTTTAGTGTACTCTAATCCCTTATAGTGATGGCACACGACGAGACACACATTCGGCATGCAATGCTGTTTGAATACAAGAAGGGAAACAACGCCTCTGTAGCCACAAAGAATATCAAAGAAGTTTATGTAAATTTTTTGAACGTTCGTAAATGTCAACGATAGTTCAACAAACTTCGTTCAGGTGACGAAAAACTGTGATGGCAGGGGGCCGACATGCTGGAATTGATATTGATGCTCTGAAGACGCTTGTTGAGTCTAACCCAAGGTAACACACTCGGGAAATGGCCCTGAAATTGCATGTCTCTCATGAGACAATACGCACACATCTAAAGAATATGGGAAAAACTCCTTAAAGAAGGTGTTTGGGTGCCTCACGAACTTTCTGATGATCATCGTTTCCAACGTGTGAATATTGCGAATATTAAACGCCAAAAACAAAGGCTCAATCCTAGACAAAAACCACTTCCAACCCCCAAATCTGGACTCCATCCGCAGAAAGTGATGCTTTGCATTTGGTGGGACATCAAAGGAGTAATTCCTTTCGAACTCTTCAATCCACAGCAAACTGTCAATGCAGAGATCTATAGTCAGCAACTGAAACGTTTAAATCAAGCCCTTCATCAGAAACGCCCTTCACTCGTCAATGAGAAAGGTGTTCTTCTTCTCCACGACATTGCACGTCCACATGTGGCACGTTTTACGCAACACAAGAGTATGGAGTTGGGTTGGGAAGTTCTCCCCCACCCACCATATTCTCCAGATATGGCACCATCAGATTACCATCTTTTTCTTTCGCTGCAACACCATCTTAATGGGAAAACGTATACAAATATGGAAGGTGTTAAAGAGGACATCGACATGTATTTTGCTTCAAAGCCAAGTGATTTCTTAATCAGGGCATTAACAACTTGATTGTAAGATGGAAAAGCATCATCGATAAGAATGGAGACTATTCATTCAATATATTGAATATTGTTAGATATATAAGTTGTTCGG